GCTCACGGCCCCAGACTCACCAGGCTTCGCAGCTGGGGAGGGGCTGCAGCTTGCTCTCCCCGGAAGCCCGCCATGCTGGTCGCCGCCCTTCACTCCTGATGGCAGATACGCGGGCCCATGCGTGAACACGGACACTCAGCACGTGTGGACATGAGGCCTGGGGCTCTCAGCACCTGTGAGCCCACCGCAGGGGCAGCCCTAGGATCCGCTCCTTCTCCCCTGCCCCCAGGCCTTAGCTGCTCCAGCTGCATTTGACCCAGGACCTCCACTGTCTTCCTGCCTTTGGGCCTTCACGGGCTCCTGGTATCCCCCCCATCTGACCTCACCCACTTTCTCCCAAAGGCCCTACTGATGGGGTGGGGAAGCCCCTGGCCCAAGGGGTGACTCCTGACTCTCCCTAGAAGCCTGTCTTTCCCCTCTGGCTCCCAAACCCATGCCTGGCTAACAGACACCTCACACCAAAGCGTCCACACAGAACTCCACACCTACTGCCGCCTGCCTGACCCCAAACACCCCTTGGCCTCCAAAGCCAAACTCTCAGTGAGTCCCAACTCTTCCTATTCTCCACGCCCGGCCCACCCTCAGCCATCCTGGATCTGGGCTCCGGCCTCGCTTGCTCACAGGTCAGCCGCCCCCTTTGGTTCCCCGCAGTGCTGTCCATTCTGCAATTAAGGGCTGGAAGTCTGAGTCGGGTCAGGCCTCTGAAAGGCACAAAAACTCAAACAGCTTCCCCCGATGCCTGCCCACCCTGGGGACGACCCGGAGCCCCATGCCCACTCCAGCAGCTGCTCTGGAGGTGTATCCGCATTGTCACCAGGCCAGGCCTCTGCTCAGCCCCCTCCATCTGACAGTCTGTGGGTCCGCAGGGCCAGCAGGGGCCGGCTGTAAGTTGCGCCAGTCAGCGTGTGCTGAATAAAAGACAGAGGGGTGCGCACACAGGGCACTGGCTACCAGCCACCAGAACCCAACAGCCCCTGGATACGTGCTGTGGGTGGCAGAGGCGTCCTGCCTGCAGGTGATGCCTCAGAAGCCACGTGAGGGTCAGGGAGTGGGGTCTTGGGCCCAGGTCTGCTCAGCCCACCCCTCCCCACCCCCACGTACCAGGAGCAGCTGCAACAGCAACACCAGCACAAGCAGCAGGGGTTGCGGCTGGGGGGAGCCGGGGGCCCCGCATGACTGGACATGGAGGGAGGCTGGTCTGCCTCCTCTGGCCCTGTGTGCTGGGGGAGATGGGCTGCCTCAGTCACAGGTGGCCACGCTCCCAAAGGCAGAACTGTTCCAGCCTCCCCAGTGCTGGAGGGTCCCTCAATTCCTTGTTGCCCCCCCCAGTCCCTGAGGGGGCGAGGCAGGGGCGGAGGAGGTGCACCTGCTTCTCGGCCTCATGCGCGGTGGGCATGGGTGGGTGGAGGTCGTCGCTCGGGCTCCGTGGTGCCGGCTCGGGACCCTGACCACAACCTGGGGGTCTGAGGAGAGGCCAAGGTTCTCAGAGAACCTGAGACCCCAGCCCTGAGGCCCCCGGGAGGGGTCTTGAGAGTTGCCTCCCTCCTTCCTGGAGCCCCAGCAGGGCCCACTCCCCTGCCTGCAGCCTCGCCCCAGCCTATATCAGGGCTGTGAAGAGCTCCACAGGAGGTTCTGGGACACCCCCATCTGCTTGGTCCCTGGGAAGCCGGAAGCCTGGGTTCCTCTTTCTCGGTTTCCGGCTCCTGCCCCTCCCAAGGGGGCTGGGGGCCCCAAGAGTCTGGGGCTGTCAGGTCAGTGCACAGGGATGATGGTTAGACATGCAGAACCCCCATCCCGGCTCCCTCCATCCTGGGTTTTCTGTGGAGGTTGTGTATGGGGGGTGGGGGTGGGTAGGGTTGCTTCCCACCAGGAATCCAAATCTGCCCCCGGGCCCCACAGCAATGCCCTGTTCACTGGGACTGAGCAAGGGGCGCCGACCATGCCTGCAGCATGAAGGGTCTGAGTGGGAAAGGGAGCGGGGCTTCCTGAAGGCGTGGGGAGCGGGGCTTCCTGAGGGCGTGGGGAGCGGGGCTCATGGTGAGGAGAGCCATGAGCTTTCTGCTGTGGACCTACTGCTCCTCTGTCCTCAATGACTGGCCCCTGGTAGCCCCGCCCCCAGCTGGCCACTTACTGCCCAGGTCTCCCGGCCTCCCTCCCTGCTGCTCCGGGCTGGGGAAACTGCTGCCTTGCCACAGAGCAAGGGGCACAGGTGGGGGGAGGGGAGCAGGGGCTGCAGTGGGAGGGGAGGGGGGTGTCCTGCTAGCTGGAACTGCGGGGTACCCAGGGGAGGCAGGGGGTGTGTCCT